ACAGATGCAGTGAATTGTTTTTGATATAAACGTGATCCCCCCTCTTAGGGGGTTTGATTTTGACCCATAGTTGTCACACTTGTTATTTTGCAAAAGGAATTATTACAAACCCTTCTGTTATTGTGTCATGTCTTAACTGACATTTATACTGCGGATTGTACACGGTCAATTATTTAGAAATTCTGTTGTCCGCATCTACATGCATCATTTTGAAATCGCTCTAGCCGGTGAAATCTTTGGTGTTTGGTCGGCTGATGTGGCGCACCTCCGCTGCCACGCTAACACCCCTCTTCGTTCCCTTTGAGAGCCCTCCCCACGCCCCCGCCTGCAAGCGCGTGCGCGAACACACACACACACATACACACTTCCCTCGATCATTCTCCTGATTGCTCGTGCACGCTTGCAGCGTGATCCAATCACTTTGCCCACCCCCGCCTCCCAGGGCGACAATAACCCGATCCGTTTCTCACATATGATTGGTTCACGTGTCCAATGGCCGTCGGACGCGTGCGACGTGGCCACATGCCAACTGGTCTGATTGGTTCGCTGATTCGCGTACCGGACAATTTAAGCCACGGTTCTGCCAGCGATGTAATCATAGTAATGGCATTCAACGCGCTACATCGCCAATACGCGTGTCCCACAATCACCGGGACGGTTCATATTCATCCCAAACCAACGCTGACCAAATCGAGTAATTGCCTTCCAATGGCTCCCTGTTCAGTCCAGACATCAATGAATTGTATGCGAGAAGTGGATCCTACTGTTCCCGATCGTCCAACTCGCAGATTGAGGGTACCGCCGGAACAACGGGAACAACTGCGACGAGTGAGTAAATGAAAACATGTTGAGAATTAGGGTGGGAGTGGGGGGGGCGGGGTTTGTTTGAGTGTGCTAGCGGCATGAGAACTCTTGTTTATGCAACTTCGATAGGCAGTAAAGTATTTGAATGTGTGTTACCACTGCTCTTATGCTTTCAGTATGATAGGAGGGATAGAAAATGGTTAAATTTTTTAGACGGTTTTAAATGATCCCTTCGAGATCCAAATCAGTTTTTCTTCATCATTATTTTGTTTTAAGACCAATGGGAGCACACATACTCAAACCCTACGGACCACCTAAGCAGATAAATCCCTTAGGTTGGGAGGCGTAAACCTGGAGACAATAAATGAACTAGACCACGGGGATCAGAAGCAAGTGTGTGTGTGTGTGTGTGTGTGTGTGTGTGTGTGTGTGTGTGATAAGACTGTATCGCACAACACAGTACCTTGTTCCATTCATGTGTAGTGTGTGTTATCTGCAATCCTATTTCGAGTGAATGCAATTCTATTCAGTTGGTTGTTTGCAGTATGTCTATGGATGATCCACATTCACTTATTATATATTATATTATATTATTATATATTATTATTTTTATATTTTATGAGATTCATACTCAGACATTGCCGGAGATTGTGAAGTTCTTATCGGTCAATGTGTGAATGTGGATGATTTTCGACTGATCGATTACATCGATTACATCGCAGGTTTTGAGTGTGACAAATGTATCGNCGAATGACTGTTTTCACATACAGGACCGGGCTCATTTCATGCCACATAGGCATCCAATTTCTGTCAGTTTGAAGTCATCATACATGTATGACATTTTCAGGCTTTAAAAAATGTCTCTCATATATCCATATCTACATTTCTCTCATTTTCAGTTAAAGAAACAAGATATGGAACGTCGAAGACGTGCGTGCATTTCGGACAAAATGAACGCGCTCCATATCATGGCCATGCGTGTGATTGGAGTGGAAGTGAGTGCACCTATGCTTCGGATTGTGTACATTACCTCGTTGTTTCTATGACAGGTTTTTCTGTCGTTTAGTTGAATTGAATGTGACCTGGCGACTGGCGCAACGAAATGCACTCTGCCAGTAGTCGGCGCGTTTGCTGTGCAACCTAAAACCACATGATGACCAGTTTGGAGACAAAAGATAATGTCAACCCGGGGTGGACGAGAGAGACGCAGCCTGTGCGATTGAATTAAGGGTCCGGAATCGGTTGGATCAGTGTGACTTATACGGACCCTACACACGTGCTCACACGAACTAGGGCGCATAAAGACACGATACACACGTGTGTCCGTGAGTGCGTACATACGTACTAACACAACACACGCATAACAGTTGCCAGGCCCGTCATGTTTGAACAAAACGGTGTTTGAACTGGTTCGTGAACGAATTGCGCTTGAGTCAGCTCGCTTGTGTGCGCGAGAGAGACGACAAATTCCACCCCACCTATTCTCCTGTATATACACCCCCTTCGCTTTGGCCTCCGGCCAAGCCCTAACTGGTTGCTAGGCCGGGACAAGCATAGTAGTGTACACGTGCCCAGTTGTATCTCGGTTTAATGCACAGGATCCGTCCGTGCCATATGAAGGGAAGAATGTGATCAACTGGTCCGCAGTTGTGGTATAAGCATAGTGATCATCCGCTCCTCTTGTAGGAAATGGACTCCAACGGATTTTGGCCGTTAGCCAAATCTCACGACGCCACACGAGAGTGAGACGAGACGATGAGGAACCCATCGGGTACATTGACCATCGGCCCAAGATGTTGAATTCGTCCCCTTGAGGGCTAAACTATAGATGTTTGTATCACGTAACTTCACAGAAATAAACTGTTTGTAGCCCAGATCGCATTGTAAAGGCTTTCTTTACACTTCAGTCCTGTGGTATAGTTTCGTAATTACGGATTGATATCATATTTATCCCGACCGTTACTATCTCCGAGTTTCTCAATCACTTATTCGATTTCTCCTTCTCCCGGCTCCAGCCAACCGTGCAGCACAAATTAGAAAAAGCTGACATTCTTGGAACCTGTTATGCGGTACTTGAAGGAATTGCGAAACTGGCTGACGATGATTCCGGTAAATTTTAAACATCTGTTTGTCCAAATGTTATAAAGATTATTATTATTATCGAAATCGATCGCAATGGTTGTGATTTAATTGAATGATATTGATACAAACATCAACGTTTATTTGGATCAAGCTAATCTAACAGTTGTAGAGAGATAACTTTAATAACCGAAAGGTCACCAGCTTTTGATTTGTCAGAACCAATGTAAATTTCTGTTCCCTAAAGTATGCAATATTGATTTGCAAAAAAATCTATACAGTTCGGCAACACAGGCGTATATCACTCTTAAGATACCCCAGCCCCCGTTTCCCATCAGAATTGGTGTTTTATTTATTTTCAAAGACGGCAAGAGTACCAATGGTTGAAAACCCGATAGAGTATGTTGTTATATTAGAACAATGTTCTTATTCAATCCAAATGATAAATCTCGATCTCATTTCCCGGTAATTTCACATTCACATTCCCTTTTAAAATCACAGCTCTACGCTCGCGATTGCACAGTTTACGCTCCAGAATCCAAGAGAACTATGTATCGAGAAACATCTCATCACCGGACGATACTACACGCAGCAGTACGCTTTCGGAAGATCCGTTACTGCCAGATGATCTGCAAATGGACAAGGAAAATCAAACAACTGCACACGTGTATGCGGCACACTGTCACTCGCAAAACACCATGACACCAACTGATTTACGCTGGTCTTCTCTTACCTCCACACCGCTCGCCTCGATCCCTCCGGGGACGGGTAGTGTCAAACAAACTCTATCCGAATCATCCCATTCCGATAGCGGGTTTCACAGCTCTCCAGACACTTCCACTTTGCCCCGAATCACAAACCGACCGTTCCGATCACCGCTAACTCCGTTGTCGATTGGGTCGCAGCACAAGAATACGCCAAATTATGACAATTGCGGGACACAATCAGTTCACAACATGTCGGCATTCACACCTATTAGACCGAAACAACAAACTGCATCTGCCCATGTATGGAGACCGTATTTGGATTAGCCTGAACTGTGGACTATAAAGTCAGAAAAAGCGCCAAACTTGCTCTCATTTGTACAGAACCCCCTTTTCCCATCCAGAGTATTTTTCTTCGATTATTTTCTGAGATATTTTCGATAAAGAAAAACAGTATCATCATATCACCTTATCCCTCTCTGTTTTGAACGATCGGATTGTACGGTAGTACATTCAGCAGTACACATTTGGAACTCACAAACAGGTGTTAGCAAGTGTTTTTCAGCAACCACAGATGAATTCACTTAAACAGTGAGATGAGTTTTCACAAATGATCGCGAAGAGAGATTTGCCTTACAGAACCATCGTGTCATCCTCTAGAGAAATCATTGTTGGTACTTGCCCACTGAATTTATTTGTTGATGTGACGCAACCCATTGTAAGGTTTGACCCAGTTTAGCGCGTCCGATTAGCCACCCATTCAGTACGGGTTCGAATCCCGGAGGATTAGTAAAATGTGTTGATAATAGTTGTTAGCAAGTGCGAAGAGATTGTTCACTGCTCTCAAAACATTTGGGTGGCGAAGAACACCTTAAGTATACTTGTTAGATTAAATTAAAGGACAACAGAATATATATATGGGGAGGTGTTTGGTTGCCCAGCTGCCATACAACATATAAATGTGGAAAGTGGGGTAGTGGTGTGATTCGAGCGCAAGTCCTCCGGGGTGATCATTTGGTGGTATTATTACCAGGTTACCACCGCCCGGTTTCCAGTTTTCATCACTGAACAGCAGGTCTTCACGACTATGAGGTTCACCCCGTCTGCCATTCAGCACATGTGTGCAAGAGAAAGAATTCCTAAGGAGGTTCCATAGGATATAGTCGCGTGGTATAGTTAGGATATTTAGTTTAGTATAAAACATTTTCCTTGCTTTCGGTGTTCTGTGACTATTTGAGTAACAATGCCGGAAAATAAAACCCAATGGAAGATATACTGGCACCTTTGATGACAGGTATCGATTCAGATTCTATCGAGGACACTTAATTCCGGACGTTTTACCGACCGAGGTATGGCATTTTGTCCCAGGTGACATCACCGTTGTGCAACTGAATGGTTTATCTTCTTCACCGGGGCTTTGTGAGGGTTCTCATCACAGCGAAATTGTCATTTATTCTCCGGACATATCAAGGTCCCCATGTGGGTTGAACTCTTTCTTCTCGTTCTCCAAAGATGTCCACTAAAATACGAGTATACTGCAAAACGTCTGTTCATCAATCACTGCAACCGGGGCTAGCCAAGACGGCAAAAGGAGACCAGGGGTTAAAATGTACACACACCACCCGTGCAGCAGGATTGTGTTTGGTTTGTAGAAGTTTCGCAACGAAACACGTGTATAATCAGTATAAAAACCGAGATAAATTCATATTTTTCTTCATCATCCACTTGAACTGTTTCATGTACTCACACTTGATGCCCTGGCAACATACTGATCCAATCTGTCCCACTGAGGTTAGCGTGATCTTATCGCAAGTGGACTTAGTAGCAATCAAGAGCATAGGCATGATCCCATTTGATTCATACAAGAAAGTGTATTGTTTTCATGTCCCATTGGATCAATTGCGTCCGGTTATTGAGGTCAAAATCAAATGGTTGCAAGTTATCTCGTTCTGTTGTTCTGTATTGCGCGAGTTTAGCACAGGCCAAGCTCACGTTGATCAACTTTGTTACATGCGTTTCAGCGATGTCATCAAGTCACATGACCGCATCAGTCGAGGACAAACATTTATCATGATGTTTTACCTCGGGAGAAACATGTGGGAATTTCCATTCTGTTTACTCATCTGCTTTTTTTTCTTGGTTCGGACAGCTCTAATCTCACACCGCTCAAGCTCCGTGTAAAATCATTATGTCACACCTTTATCTTCGAGTGTTGGCACCGGAAAAAAGATGATGCGCACTACGAAAAACACAGTACAGGACCGAATTCGGAAACGCTTTGAATTAATCGTTCTTACTTCTGCCGGGTCTTCAGGAATCTCTCATCTTTCATCTTGTATACAATACAAATAACTGTCAGCTGAATAATACCAATTCACTAGTTCATTTTCCTCTGTAGCCCATATAATCGAGTCAGGAACAGGATTTACACAGGTCATGCTTGAAAACTGACCTGAAGCAAAAATTTTCCTGCGGAAAAGCATTTTTATGAAACTCTTTAACTTAAACTTTTATTTCTCGGCTATTCTTCAAGTGTGAAACTGATAGTTGTCCATGCCAAGGTAGTTTTTTGGCTGAACAGCCATGACTACGTGTGTTACCGTGCCATGCGACCGTCTGGGTTCAGGACACTCACAAGTGCAACCGAAGATTTATCGCCGCCAGACTCTAAGTTGTGCATTAGTTCATAACAATTGTGAAAATGCATAGCAAGCGTTGTAGGGCTGAGACAGATATGGGCGCGCATGGAATGACAAGAAGAACACCTCGCTGCTAGGACTCGAGAACACCGCGATGCACAAGGACATTCTCTCAAATGTCCAATTGGTTGTTGTTTCACAAGTGCTTATTGTGCATTTTCACTTGCGACAATTGGACATATGTGGATTTTCACCTTCTCGCCTGGATGCTCTTCCACTGGTCGCTTATGGCCTTTCCGACAGTGCTTCAAACTTCTTAGAAGTAGAGCTTCTCGTGGTGCCGCTTGATACATGTATTCTAGTTATTCATTTAACTACGGTCATATTAGTTTTATTTAAATTTAGAAATATTTTCAACATTTGCTGTGGCCATGAAAAGTGTCAAGTTGGTATATAAATCCGTTGGAATTCATGAAATTTCATGTCGTCGAAGATAGCCTCGGTTGAGCTACACTTGTCCGAATACCGATTGTAGTTAAAGCAAAACAAACAAAACATTGTAGTTAAAACAATGGCTATTATGGTGCTAATCAACTGCAATCATCTACCCATCTTTTCATTTTACTTCCTTTTATTAACTATACAAAGATACTCAAAGATACAAAGATATTCATTACGGGGGAAGCGGCCAATCAAAGGGCTGCTATCCAACACACCATAGGGACTCAGGCGATGGCGGTGAGGTTCGAACACACATCCCCGGGGTGATAATCTGGTGACGTTAGCACCAGGTCACCACCGCTCAAGAAAGGGATGATCCAAAGACCTTCCCACTGGCAAAAACTACGCACCCGATTAGGGATTGTTGCAGGCTTCAACCCGCCGTAGTGCAAGGGCAAGCCTCCACCTGGGGTCAGGGCATCCGTGATCACCTTGGTCCAAGTTTCAGGTAAGTTTCCTTCTTTCACTGAAAGAATGTGTATAACTTGGTAGCATTTAATAAATTTGGTGCAAAAAATAACACTTAGATAAACCTCATATTCTCCACTCAGTCAATCATACACAATCTTCTGTGGTCGAAATGAATCGCATGTTCCTTTATTTTCTATTCTGACCTCACAACCGTAAGGTTGGTTGGCTTACAACTTCGAATACAGAGTTCCACTTGAGCTGGGAGGCATACTGGAGTATAGATCAGGTCCAACGGAGCGTATACACTTGATGGATCAGAAACCGCAATCTCTTAGCCACATGTACTGGCTGTTGTCTCGTGCAAACCTCTGGCGCTGAAGTGCAACTGCTAGCGGAAAATGTGTCATCAGTTTATTAGCACTGTAGATCGGCGAAGTTGACTGGGCCGTTTTAAGATGGTGGACTGATTCAACGAGGTCATTTTGATTTGACGGAAGATCGATGTGTGAAAGCAGCGGGTTGTTCAAATATGTGACTGATAAAAATTTTAAAATTTATCGGGGCACGGGACGCACACGGATCGAACGGTTGTACTGATCGATCAACAAACGATCTATTCGGTGGATAAAATTAAATAAACTTCTGATTCCCATGATTATTCCGTTTGCTTCCATTCCCACTTTACAGCACTTGTGCAAACATGTGACCAATCGAATATTGGCGTAATCGGAAAAACACCTGGAATTTGACACGTCTTGCCCACTGTATGAGCAGTACAACATTGTTTGTGGCACATTGGAAAATGTGGTCGAGTAGGCTAAACAGATGGTCGCGATAGTAATTTTTATGTGAAGAAAGTAAAAGATCACAGGGGGGCCGTTTCGTCTTTATTGGCACTCGTCAGCAATGCGTAGCATTTGAATCTTCGAGGAATTCGAATCCTTTGCCCATGAGCTCTACGGTCAACAGTTAACACCTTGGGCGGATGGATATATTAATTAGGAATGCGTTTTTTGGATTGGCCCACTCAACTTCCCAGTATCTGTGTTTGAACTTGCATTTCCGGTGTGGATTTCTTTCCCTAAAATTTTGCCTTTAGGTATAGATTTCATTCACGTTGGCTCACTGTTTAAGTCTAGGTGGGGGAATGTATCCAGTGTTGATGAGTCTTAACAACGATGAAACAGCTGTCCATTGACCTTTATTTACTTTCACCCAAACAATTTGTATCGCAAACACAACAAACGACCTCTCAAGGAGTGAAGCTCGCACTCAGAGCATAATGATTCGGAGAAATAGTATTGTCACAATGATAGTGACGATACATTCGTTTGTCTTCTCCCGAGAGCATCCGTATCTCCTTATTATGTTGAACATCAAATGCAATATCACAAAACGGCCATAAAAACTGGGCTGAGATAGCTGTCCATGCTTGTCAGGGGACCAAAGAGGAACCGGGCCAAATAAGGATGTGCATTGTATATGGCCACAGAGGCATATACAATATGATTTTTTATCACACTAGTTCATCTTATTGGTTGTCACGTGTCTAACATCAGCGGAATCTTAACGAAACACGATTTGTCGAGTTGCTCAAGTTATCAAATTTAAAACCCGGAATCAATCAGATCACCACTTAGCTCGGTTGTGCCAGATGAGGCAAGCAGAGTGGGGTGGGTGGTGGTATCAAGCGCGGTTTAGCCATGTTTTTGTTGTTGCTGCATTCTCGGCACGCGGTATGGTGAGAACCGTTTCACACCTACGGCGGCGACCCGT